GAATTCGAATAGTTTGCGAGTCCGAAATGTGATTGTCAATTTTTGTATAGAAACTTGAAATCCCCGTAGCATGAGCACGAGCACCACAATTTACATCATATCGCGTTTTTTATCGTGACTAACTGTCAATCTCCATACTAATTTGACAATTCAGCGTGATAAAAATTGTTTATCATTTATAGCTAAAACTATATATATATATCATATAGCGGTACTCATGCTTGGGGAGGGGGGGGGGGGGGTCGGGATTTCAAAAACCGGGTCTCTTTTTTTACTTTTCCTAGAAAGTATCTATTATTTTCTCCATACAACTCTGCCCAATTGTGTACTTCAAGTATTATCATGCATTTATGTGTAGAAGAACAATATGCCGAATTTGAATATTAATAAATACATTTTATTACCCAAGTATACCAGACAAAAAGGGCGTTCAAACATTTAAATTAATGGCAACATAGATAATATAATATGGTAAATGTGCATGTTTAGGTCAATAACAATTAGCTATGGAAATCATGACGTGTTTTTTGATACAACCAATCACAATCGAGGTAATTAATTTAAACCATTAGTATTGACTGTCATCTGTTAGTCAATGACAAATTGCTTCTCAAGATAACGATTCTTTATACGCTGACTAGGCTTACTTAGGTATCTAAAACTCTCTAGAATCGTCTGAAAAAATAATATCATTTTCCAAAGCACTTTAACGAATTAATTAGACACCGCACTGTCATTAACATTAATTAAGGCGGAACGTTAAAGACTGTTGACACAAAAACAGATGTGTCTACAGAAGACTTTTGTCTCTCAGTAAATAATGTAATGGTAACATATTCCTCGAAAGCGACAATAACATTTTAGACATGCTACTGTGCGAGATCTCGCGTGTACCAGAGGCAGTTTAACATAAACACTGCTTCTGTTTTAACATAGAAATTCGCCGATGTATTTCACTTTCTATAATACATATTCAATAGACATAACACTCGATGGCGCGGAGCTCGATGGCTCGTGCGGTTAGCGCGTTCGACTGCGATCGTTCAAGATAAGCAGCTTTCGCCGTGGTCGGTCATTGGATGGGTGACCAAAAATTTACTATCTCGAGCTTCTAAGGAATGCAAAACCAGACGAGCTCGATGGCGCAGGTGGTTAGCGCGTTCGGCTGCGATTGTTGAAGTTAAGCAGCTTTCGCAGTGGTCGGTCATTGGATGGGTGATCAAAAATTTACTATCTCGAGCTCCTCCGTGCTTCGGAACGCACGTTAAGCCGTTGGTTCCGGCTGTATCTGCAGTCGTTAGCACACACTAATTCGCACTGGGCCCGCACTAGAAAAAATTAAACTCGTTCAATATTTTAGGCAGAACAGAAAAATTTATAAATTGAGCGGATTTCTGCTTAAAAGATATTCTTACTTATATTTACTTAAATAATATATACCTACATAATAAGCGATAGGTATATTACAGCCATTCTTTTTCACATCCTTCTCACCTCCTCCCCTAATCTCGGTAAATACACCCCAGTAACACTTAAATTAAGTATGAACTTAAATGTGACAATTCAAACTTATTTTTATTGCTTATTTGTAAACGATGTCTTTTCATTTCTTAGTTAATTCAAATTAATATTATTTTTAGAATTATAAAAAATATAAATTTTAAAAAATCCAAGAAATCAGCATGTACAAACATAGTATGGATTCTGCAGGAAAAAAAGACCAAGGCCCGATTAAATATTGAAATAAGACTATTTAAAGTAAAATTAAGTTATTCAGCCATCAACTATAAATGATATAATAGGTATTTACATTTTTACATACATGTGTTTTGAAATACTTTATTTGTTCCATCTTCATTATCCAATATTTGTCGATATGCTATTTCAACTTACAAGGTGAAGCCGAAGAGTTTAGTGACAAATCGTCGAACGTCGAAAATCGCTTGAACTCGACCTCTAGGATGTGAAGAAACTCTAAAAATTTACAAGATTGGGTACAAGCCATAAACTACCTTTAATCTTTTTCACAGTGTTGTCAACATCGCATCATATTATCATCGAATTTTCATTATCGATGTTCTTGTTGCTATGGATGCTATAGCAGGTGTATATTATCATTTTCAGCTGCTTATCCAAAAAAGTTGAATTTTAAGTAGGAATAGGAGCATGTTGTCGATTCTGGGATGATTCACTTAAACTTGAAAACTAAATTAACCATCAGTCTATCCTTCTAGTATAGAGAATTACAAGGACATACTGTTGTCAAATTTCAGTTTAAGTTTAGAGAATCATGTCAGAATCGACACCGTTACCTCCTATTTTTTATTAATTATATAATGTTGCTATAAAAAGACTACGAACCAGATTGTTTGTCATGGCTCATTGGCTAATACCTAATACCCAAACAGGGTGGAGCCAATAAGAAATAAACAGATTTCCAAATTCAAATCTGACAGAGAAAAATCCGTGATGCACCCTCAGGATGTACCATTGTCAGTCTATGGCCTTTCGATTTTAATGTCATAGTATCAAACTCGGATATCAACATTATCTAGACCCAAACATAACTTGATGAAACGTTTATCATTGGTTGGTTGCTAAAAAAAAAACTTTTAAGCCTTACAGTAGTCGCGTATGATGTGTAACATTTGAAACCTCACCTTATATTAGTAAAAAAAGAAATAAAACCTACAGCAAAAGGAAAAAGCCATTTGAAGATGGACTTTTGGCGGGATCGGGAAGCGTCACTTTAACAGTTTTGTTTTTCTTGTTAAAAATTGTGTTGTGGCGGATGTTAGTGTCTAATAATGGTGGATTATTAACCACTAAAGGTTCGGGAACATGCACAAGTGTTGGCAAGTGAAACAAAATAACGGAAAGTGTCTGTCGACGGTCCCTCAAGAAATCCACGGGGTGGTTCCAGTAAATCCCCACACATTTACTGAAACATAGGGAAAGGGGGTTTGACTTAACTGCCACTTCCTTTGACTTGATTTATTACTTTGACCATGAGTGCTATAGAATTTGTAAACATTTTAATACTTGACATTGGCTAAATGCACAAGCCGTGCGGAGCCATTTAGAAAAAAAAGGAAAAAAAGCCATTTGAACATTATGTTAAAAAATTAAATCAAATAGCGCGCGCTTTCGTGACTTCCTGTTACACACTTCCGTCCCATTTCACGAAATCACTCCCACAATTTGCAGGAAAGCGAGAGGAAAGATAAATCTCTGTCTTGCCGGCCGCCTGCTGACCCATTAAGCGGGGATTATACTCAAGGAATTTTAAATGTTTTCGGGTTGGTTAACTGATCGAACATTTCTAATACGAACTTTCATATTTTACGAGCAAGTATTTTCACACCCGAAATTGTTGGCAATACTTTCAAGCAACATTTTATTATGTTTCCCGTTGTGTACACTTTGAGCCTGCGTTGGTTGAAGTTTTTAAGCTATTGTATAGCTTTTAACGCGGGCTTTGAGCGCGGCGACCGAATCAATAAATTCCGTAACGAAAACAATCTTATAAGTGTGCATACACCAATAGAACACAATTTTCGCCATTCCAGTATCGATCCAAACGGCGCAGTGTGTTAAATCTTTGCCACGGGACCAACGTTCGACGCATCACCTCGTCATAAATAATTAATTAAAATTGCATAAGTTGATAAAAAATGCTATGCAATAGCTTTACCGCGACAGTCCCCGAGTGCGAAATTTTAACCAACACACACCAATTAGCCTAGCCCCAAAGTAAGCACTGTAAGGCTTGTGTAATAGGATACTAGGGTACGGGATAGAATACATATGCTGTACAAATATAAGTTTATTTATATAGAAATACATATTAAACATCCATGACTGGAGAACAAATGCTCGTATTCATCTCAAAAACATCTGCCCCCACCGGGATTCGAACCAGGGACCTCTCGAGTAGGAGACACCCTGAAACCCGGCGTACCCCTTGGGGCTAGAATTAATCTAAATCCTTTCTTAGCGGATGCCTACGTCATAACATCTACCTGCATGCCAAATTTCAGCCCGATCCGTCCAGTGGTTTGGGCTGTGCGTTGATAGATCACTATGTCAGTCAGTCACCTTTGAGTTTTATATATATAGATTGAGCTCATTTTATAGACAATTTCATTCGGTATATACGATAATCTGCCTAAATATATACGTCTTACACGATTAAAATAAACTTTACCTAACCAAATAGGTATAATAAATTTGCAAATGTACAGCTAAAACAAAAATTATACCAGCGGGTTAAAATAAAAGATTTAATTTTTTGTTGCGCGAATGTAGCGACACTCGCGTCGCGTTTACAACAATTAAGGGGTGAATCGTTTATCCCCGAAGCACGTACGAACTACAAAAGTAACGTTGGCATTTATGACAACACGTTCTATGTTCAACACTTGTTTGTGCCTAGAACTTTGTCTACGTCTAATAGGTGGTTTTCCTAACAAATTTTCATAACATTATTAATTGTTATTTTTCACGCCAGCAATCTTTACACTATAGAATGGGTATAAAGCGTGATTTATCAAGTTTTTTTTTTATTTTTCCTGGCGTTTCAGATCCTTTACCAGCTCGGTGATCGCAAAACTGATTATTTATTAATTTTGACAATCACTCAGCCAAAACTTAAATGTTTACTTAAGACCCGTTCAAAAGGTGTTTTATTAAAACTTTCATCCCATCGTAACTTTTATTTACGCTACAAAGGTAACCTTTGGCTTTCTCCAAAAGTCAACCCATCTCAAAACCGATATTAATTAAAATTCCTTCAGAGTAAAAATGCAAACAACTAGACAGAGTAATTTTCGCACTTGATACACTCAGTATGAATTTAATTCTGTAAACGCTACCTGAAACAAAAAAAATATACAGTGGTACGACTGTTACGACAACCTCGTAAAACGTGGCAATAATAATAAAATTTGATGTTATACTACAGAAAGTAGCTACTGAAAATCTCTTTTCCCCCTTCGCAGATTTAAAAATGACTCGGCTGAGTTTGCTGCTGGTGATTTCGTGTCAAATTGCGACGTTAACACCAATTTTGGGCGTCAGAGGCGATGACGAAAACCCGTACATGCAATTGGCGTCTTCCTTCCTCCAGAATATGGCGGATAGTGGTAACGAAAATGGACTGGGAGCTTTGGGAAGTATCATTGGAACGTTTATGCAAGGTGACGCTGCAAAGAACTTAGGAGCAATGTTAGGACAGAACGGGAATGGTGGAAATAATGCTGCTGACATGTTATCAGGTAATTTCCTCAGTTTATTTAAATGTTATTTTGCTAATCTTTGTAATATCATGACATAATTTACCAATTTAACAAGTAATATGTATACCTAATGGTCATCTTATACTGTAATTTTTTTATTGTATAAATGGTCAACTCTTATATTCAAGATACATTTTAGGGTAATATTCAAATATGAATTGAATAATAAACATATTATGCCAATAACTTCTTGTAGCATGCTTCTCGTATTACAGGCAATAACTCGGGCACTTGTATAAATATTTGAGCTTGCCTTTTTGTGAAGTTTAACAAATAATCACATTGAGTCGTTTAACTTATGAAACATTGTCTTTATTTGCTGGATTGTCAAATAGGACCAATTCATTATTATCTCACTCGGATTTCATTGTGATGTTAGCGGGTTCGGCAATTTCTTGCCTAATAAACTGACACAATTACGCAAACAACGAATAACTGTGCGAAGTACCACCACAACAGATTTAACGCTAAATTCAAACCTGTTACAGGACTTGGCAGTTTACTGGGTGGACAACAAGATGGCAAAGTGGATCCAGCATTTGTTCTCTCCATGATATCTATGATCGGTCAGCAATTGGGAAAGAGCGAGCAACCTAAAAAACAAAAAAGGCAAATTCAGGAATCGGACGGTTCAAACAAAGTAGATCCCGAATTTTTGCTTTCAATGATATCTACGTTTGCTCAGCAACTGGGAAAGAGCGAGCAACCTAAAAAACAAGCGAGGCAAATCCAGGAATCAAACGATTTAAACCTGGAGGGTATATTGAGTATGGCTTCTGGATTGCTGGGCAATCAAAACGTCGCTAGTATACTCCCTGTCATATTGAACTCCTTGAATTCGTTCTCGGAACCAGAGACTAAGAAACGCGCGGAGGAACACAAAGATCACGCCTCCTTCCTCCCTCCTTATTTGGAGAAGGTCCATTTGTATTGGGATCTGTTTATTAATTCAGAGCTTGGAAAGACCATGTGGGAGAAGAGTGGGTTGAGGAAGGTGATGAAAGCGTTCACAGGGCCTGACGGAAAGATCAGTTTCGAGATGATGTTCAAGAATTTCGAGAATCGCTCGTTTAGGAGGCACTGGATCAAGACGGCGGCTAAATATCTAACGGACGCTTTTATGCAGATAGCTAAACCTGAAGTTTATCAAAGGTCAGTTGATTTCTTTCCGATTGTAATGGTTTTTCATGGTTTGAAACTAGTGTTAGTACTGTTTAGGTTTATCTTCTTAGGAAATACATTCCCGGACACATCTACCGGCCCACTTAAATTTCAACTGTCAGTAGCAAAAATATATGTTAGGTTGAGAAATTAAAAAAAAAATTAAAACACACGAAATAGATGGTAATAAATCAGCTTCAAAACTGCGAAAAAACTTTTTGGTCATTGTAACCTAATTTTTAGCCAGGAACCGTCAAATCGCCGTTGCCACGGACTAACTGTGGCCTGTATTCCTTTCACGAACAAAGAAATTTGGTGACTCGTTCCCTTGTCGTACTATTCGTAAGTGGAATTCTTTGCCCGCGCACGTGTTCCATCCTTCCTACAATCTGGGGTCCTTTAAGCGAGGCGTGCAGAAGCATTTTTGCAGGCCGGCAAGGTGAGGATGGTTGGTGTGGCAGTTTATAACTGCTGTACCAGTTATCTTCGCGTTTGGACTCTATCACCACTTAACATCAGGTGAGGTAGAGTCATTTGCCTACATGGAAATAAAAAAAAAACAAAACTTAAAATGCCAGGGGCCGATAGATATGCTTATAGTACTTCCAGTATATTAGATCACTGTGGGAAGGCGAACTTTAAAAATGGATTATTAAATGACGTATTCATAATAACAAGTAACTATTGTATGTGCTCATAATGGTGTCTTTGGTTAGACTGTTTATCCCTATTTAAGGATTTTTAAAGTCTCAAGTCCACAAAGACCAATTCGCAGCGATAGTCTAGCATTTCATAATAACACAATAGGTTTTTATTTTTTAAAACAAGTACCTACTATTAACGATGTTAGGCAGGCTGTATTCATTTAGGAATAATAAATGGATAAAGATTACCCTTGGGGAAAATTTTCAGCGGCAATAAATGGATTACCTAACCATTTTATAACTCGCTCTCTCTCACCTACGACCTTCAAATAGATCCACCTTCTATTCAGGGCCAATTTAATATTGACGCAAATATTTTTCTAGAGTTGCGTTACTTTTTGCGTATCTACCTACCCGCATCTGACCCGCATAGTAAATTCTAATTCTAATCAATACATTATTTACATATTAACATGAGTTTACGATAAATATCTTGGAAAGTGACTTCATGAGTTATCTCATATTGAAGTAAATTTTTAAATTTGACTTCTCTGTATATAATACAGGGAGAAAAAAACAGCCCTTGCTGAGTTTCTTGCCGGTTCTTCTCAGTACAAGGTCTCCCGCCGCAGATTTGTGACGCCGATGGCGTTAGCTTTTCGACATTCACAAGTGCTTGTAACAGCCTAGACTTAATAAACGATATTGAATTTAGATTTTTTTTAATGTCTTTTCCTGCTGCTAAGTATAGGTACATATTATAAGTATGACTTAGATTAATGACTGATAGTAAAGCAACGCTTAAATACTAAAGAATGTTTTCTAACTTGAACAAATTAAGTTGTCTATCTATAATGGATGAAGACTGATACAATACTATTTAGTACTAGCTTTTGCCCGCGACTTCGTCCACGTTATCGTCGTTTTTCGTAAAAAAGTAGCATATGTCCTTCCTCAGGGTTCCGTGGTTTTGATGTGACAGACAGATTAACTTTCGTATTTTAGTAGAGAAATATAATACTGTTAAAAATATCGCAATAAGGAACCGCAGAATATTATTATTATCACTGTGCCCCGAGACCATCAGCGTGTAACTCCTTGTATGTTATTATGTTAATGTATTGGTAATATTGTTTAGATCACTTTCACATGAGTCTTAAGTACATATAGAATGAAAATACTTCAGCGCAAAGCTTCCGGGTAGACTACGTTGAAATTTGACCCGTCCGGAACGTGAACATAAAAAATTCTAGGACTGCTAACCCGGGAAAGACCGACATAACTGACCATGTGAAAAACAACTGACACCGAGATCTACTCCAACAACACGAAAGGTCTGCCCTTGAGCCTTATTTATTGTCATTGCATAACACACCGATACTGGGAATTGCGTTCTTTTAAATTGGAATGGAAAATTATTTGGTATTATGGGAAATCTGGGAATAAAGATGGTTTCTCCTGCACCGCAACCTATTAAAATTTGAGATTTTCGATTACATTTTATTGCAACTGGGTTACTTTAAGCCGAGTTCCATTGCAAATTTGTGGTGGTCTTAAATTTCGGAGCAGAATAATCGGAATGCCAATTTTTAAACAAATTTCGTGAGAAGGAAGTACGGGCATATTTAAAGAATTTAAAAATTCTATCGGGTTATTAGTGGCTTCTTGTTCATCGGCCATTCTATTTATTGAACTATAAACTTTGCTTTCCCCCTGGATATTCGACAGTATTTTATTATTAATCTCAGATGCCTGGTCATTGCGAGGAGTTAAAATGGACCTTTCGCATAGCCAAGAATTGTTCTTATTTAATATATTTGTTACGTCACCGTAAACTGACGATGTAAGATGTTGTTGGGATTGCACTATACAACATAACTCAGGCGTCAGAATAAGTTTTCCTTGGTGTAGCAGTGGATAGGTATCTTTGGTGAAGGTATTTTCTTTAATAATATATCAGAAAATTCATGATCATCCGCGTTATCTACAGTTCTCACTCGCATGTTTATAGTCGAATGCACCGATTGTATATCACGCCACAAATAAGAGCTTTTCAGGCAAGTCCTAACCTCAGCAGCTCGGGTTCCCCGTGGTATTACCGTTAAGGTTTGTCGGAAATCACCACAAAATAAAACTGTGATACCGCCCATGGGTCGATCATTTTGTCTTATATCTCTTAAAGTTCTGTCTACCGCTTCTGATCTACTCCTTTTCGATGGGCCATCGTACATTCATCCTATATGATTAAATTACACTTTGAACGAATATTTAAACACTACCAAAACAACTAATACGTGGTCTTAACTTTAGCTACCTTACACATAAAATCTAAGTGACTATTTGAACTAAAATATTCTTATAGAATTATAACCAGAAATATATACAACTCACAACAAAAAAGAAATGAAAATAAAGCTGAAACGCCTGTGCAATACTATCTACCTATACCTCCTTCACTTAAAAATAAATACTTATAACTACTTTAATTAATAAAAGTACCTACGCTTAATAATTTTTAATTTGAACGAATATTTAAACACTACCAAAACAACTAATACCTGTTTTACAAAATAACAACAAAAGAAATTCAAATAAACTATTTAAAGACTAAAAGTCGCGCTGATAAGCACGGTTTCGGTCTCCCAGGCGGGGGAGCCGATGAGAAATCCTCATGGATACCCTACAGCCGGCTGCAAGGTTATGTCAGACTCGTACTGACTAAAAAACACCCGTAGGGGCTGCCTCTGGCCGGGAAGGCCTCTAAGGCTTCATCGGAAGCGATCGTCCCCCAGGGGGGGAGCGACGCAGAAAACAGATTTAGACAGCTCGCTCTCGGACCTTTGATACCCTACCGCTGCCGCGACCCGTGTCGAGCGCGGCAACCGTTACACAAAAATAATCCTTATAGCATGATTCAGTATTCACGTGCGACGGCGCGATGGCTTATTTCATGTATAAGTTTGGTGTTTCTATACCGAGTATTATAAACGTAAGAGTAAACAAATATGATCAGAATGCTCCGAACTGCTAAGCTATTGGGAGTTACACGTGTTATTGTGAGTCAACCATAAAAGATAGACATATGCTGTTGCGGGATACTTTTTAGACAATTTTATGTAGAATATTTCCGTCATACATGATTTCTATGTAACTTTAATTATTAAGGCTGCACACGCGACGGAAGCTTATAAAATGGAGTAACTTCTCCCGTTTTCCCAACATTTCCCTTCACTACTCTGCTCCTACTGATTGTAGCGTGATGAAAAGTATACTTTAACCTGCCCAGGAGTATGAAGAATAATTGTACCAAGTTTCGTTAAAATCCGTCGAGTAGTTTTTGTTTCTATAAAGAACATACACATAGACAGACAGACAGACAGACAAAAAATTTACTGATTGCATTTTTGGCATCAGTATCGATCACTAATCACCCCCTGATAGTTATTTTAAAAATATATTTCATGTACAGAATTGACATCTCTACAGATTTATTATAAGTATAGATAAGCACGGTTTCTCAATATCAATTATTGTCTGTCAATAAGGTCGAACGCTCTGAACGCATCAACAGCCAAATATTGAATGAAGCTCGCTTTCTCTTTTTTTTTGTTTCCTCCCAGGCGGGGGAGCGGGTGTGAAATCCTCATGGATACCCTACAGCCGGCTGTAGAGTTATGTCAGACTCTTACTGACTAAAACACACCCGTGGGGGGTGCCTATGGCCTTACAGGCTTCATCTGATGCGATCAACCCCTGAGAAGGGGATGATGCAGCGCTGCCTTAGTAAAAACTACTGCATAGTGCGCTTAGAGGACGGATGCATCCTGATGTGCATCCGTATCGGTTTGGGACTGAGCGACTGAAGGTCTCTCAGGATCGGGGGGGCGGGGAAGCTCGCTTTCGGACCTCCCGCCTTTTTATACCCTACCGCGCCGCCACGACCCGTGTCGAGCGCGGCAGCCAAAATAATCCTTAAAGCATGATTCAGTATTCACGTGCGACGGCGCGATGGCTTATTTCATGTTTAAGTTTGGTGTTTCTATACCGATTTCTATGATTCTTTTTTTATTGAATAGGTAATAATGTTAACTTTTTTAAATTATGGATGAGTGAGAGTATTATAAACGTAAGAGTAAACAAATATAATCAGAATGCTCCGAACTGCTAAGCTATCAGGAGTTACACGTGTTATTGTGAGTCAACCATAAAAGATAGACATACGCTGTTGCGGGATATTTTCTAGAAAATTTTATGTAGAATATTTCCGTCATACATGATTTCTATGTAACTTTAACCATTAAGGCTGCACACGCGACGGAAGCTTAAAAAATGGAGTAACTTCTCCCGTTTTCCCAACATTTCCCTTCACTACTCTGCTCCTATTGATTGTAGCGTAATGAAAAGTATACTATAACCTGCCCAGGAGTATGAAGAATAATTGTACCAAGTTTCGTTAAAATCCGTCGAGTAGTTTTTGTTTCTATAAGGAACAAACACACAGACAGACAGACAGACAGACAAAAATTTTACTGATTGCATTTTTGGCATCAGTATCGATCACTTATCACCCCCTGATAGTTATTTTGAAATTATATTTCATGTACAGAATTGACCTCTCTACAGATTTATTATAAGTATAGATGTCACTTAGAATATCAAAAAATTATTGACACAATTTTTTTCTTTTGTCAATCAACCAAAAATTACAAAGATAAAACGCGTCAGTGTTTGCCTGTGGGGGCTCGTGACGTCATTTCTAAGTAACAATTGTACTGAGACGTGACGTCACGCAATATTTTAAATTTATTTAGGTAAAACTGTACTTCCAGGGCCCAAGAGGAGATACTTAAATTTCTTTTGTAGAAAAGGCCTTTATTTATCTCTTTTTGTTACGTTTTGATTGTGTGAATTAAGAATAAAATACGTACCCGATACTCTGTGATAATCTACCTGAAACACGAAGAAAAAAAGTTTGGCATCATCTCTACTACCTACTTCTTTATCCATGCCAACAAAATTCTAACCGCAACAGAGGAGTTTTAATGTACTTTTAGCCAATTTTATTTTCTTACAACTATTCCAAAAATGAGCGACCATTTCATTTCAGTGGTCGGTCATTGGATGGGTGACCAAAAATTTCTATCTCGAGTTCCTCCGTGCTTCGGAAGGCACCTTAAGCCGTTGGTCCCGGTTGCATCTGCAATCGTTAGCACCCGCCAATCCGCACTGGGCCTGCGTGGTGGGTCATGGCCCAATCTCCCTATCCCATCCATAGGGAAGGCCTGTGCCCCAGCAGTGGGGACATAAAGAGGCTGATGATGATGATGATGATTGCAAAAATTACGAGTCCTGTTGTTCATTAATGAGCGAGGCGATTAATAATATTACAGTAGGATTAATTCCCCCCCTGAGTAGGAACATTATTAGCCTGTGGTCAGTGGCGGCGCTAGGCGTCGGCGACGTCGGCCACCGCCGACGGCCTCGCGCCTGAGGGGGCCTCGCAAAAAATTTTTACAAGTTACCTATTTATTTTCGTTTCTCCTGGCCTAGCTTAGGTAGCCGACCCCGAACAATTCGGTGAAAAAGCTAAGCAGATGATAATGACTTTTATTATTTTCGAACACGTGCGCGATTGGAAGCGAGTAGTACTTTACGGGTATTCAGAATCGTCTGTGTGGCAACACTATTTTTGTAATTAAATTTCTATGTTTGTAATTATTTTTTGTCATCATTTGATTATCAACAATAAAACTCGTTTACTCATACGTTATTTTATAATTTGGCTCACTTAATTTTACGGTTTTTTACTACGAATTAAAATAGGCCTCGCGAACTTGATGTCGTCGACGTCCCCATGTGGTCTAGCGTCGCCACTGCCTGTGGTCGTGAAATTAAATACCTATATATTTTCAGATATCTCAGTACTACGCAGTACATCCTCAACGGTTTCATGGATACACAAGGGCTGCCCAAAGAAATCCATTTCGACATGAAGAAACCTGATAAGTCATTCGTGAAACTTATAAACTACGCACTGAAAAAGTACATGGACATACACACTGATGTCTCTGGATACATCAAACCTGCTATGGATTACTTGAAGGTATGTTCGACAAGAGGAGCTCGATCGCGCAGGCGGTTAGCGCATTCAGCCTGCGATTGTCGCAGTTATTATTAATTATAGTAAAAAATCTAAAGAAAATATAACTAGGAAAAATTCCACGCAGACCAGGCAGCAGACGGGACTCGAACCCGCATCCTTCGCAGCCTTCGACGCGGCCGTCAGGGCCGCGGTAGCATAATTGGTCAGTGCATTCGCCCGGATTGCGAAGGGTGCGGGTTCGAGTCCCGTCTGCTGCCTGGTCCGCCTGGAATTTTTCCTAGTTATATTTAAACATCCAGCAGTTTCATGCTAAAAAAATTAAAAATTATAAAAAAGTTTATTTGGCACAAATTACAATAAATAACTTGTTGTATTATATAAAGATTTTGTACCAAATTGGCCACTGCTCAGTATATACTGATTTTTAGCAGAAGCCTACTTAGACCAAGCGCTAATAGTTAAATTATAAAAAGATAATAATAGGTTTAAAGCAATAATAATTTAAATTAAATAACATTTGTAATAAATATCAATAATGTCTTAAATATCATTTAAATTTTTGGGAAGCAAAAATATATTTAAAGTAAATGCAACGACGCATTCAGAATGAAAAGTTTTGGTCAAGTTATGAGCATTTGCTCAGGCGCGCCAGCCCCGCCCACAAGTTCGTTCTAATCTTTTTCTGTGTGTCCCACTCCCAATATTTCATCTTTAGTCGTTTGTCTCGGAAGTCCTGTGTATATTTCATCTATGGGGAAGGCAGTAGGGACATTATAAGGCCGATGATGTTTGAAAAAGAAATAGCTCGATGGTTTATATAAAAATTAGCAAAAACCTTCATTGGCCGGTCATAGGATGGAGAACCAAAAATCCATTATCTGAAGCTTCCGAACTTCGAAAAGCATCATAAGTCAATGATTCCGGCTGCATCTGTAGTTGTCAGAACCCCTTCTAACTGCTCACACGCAGCCTAAGAAATACTAGAAGAATTAGGACACGACTAATAAGGTTTCGGTAGCATGCCCCCTACCATCCATCCTTACCATCAAAACGCGTTGAGATAAAACGATTTATCGCCGTTGGCTGTCAAACTCAATGGAGGTTCAGTTGAGTCCCGATAAAAAGTTTTATCTTACCCCGATAGGGGGCAGGGCCTTGTGAATAATTATTATCTACACCCATGCTTTCAAACCTCCATTATAAATTCTGAAACAGTTAGCTAGTTTTAATGCTGGCAAAAACCAACATTAAAAATCCTTTGTCATAATAAAAAAAAACATTATAACACCCAAAGGGTGTTCTCATTCGCAGGAATTTTAAGTTCTTAGAACGTCTCATGGTTTCAGGCTCTTTGATAGAGGATTCATAGTCATGGGTATAGATAATGTCTTGTATGCAATCGTATATAATTAGGTATTAAACACTCATGGAATACTAATTATCACACTCCACTTCGCCTCGTGTGATAAACCTGCATTCGTATTTTAAGACCCCTCACTATACAACAGTTGCATATTAACTATTATGTACCTATTTCTATCCATTATCTTAGTATTCCATAACACTAAACAACTTACAGTGCTTACTTTGGGGCTCGAATGATTGATGAGGATTACAACTATCATTGACGCGGCCATCTTGTCCACAGCAAACCATCAAAATGGCGGAGGCTGCGACACAGAACCTCGCTAAAGGTGGCGACACCAACCTAATAGTAGACCGACTCACAGACACCCTCAACCTGGAGGTCATTGAACCCGTGCTGAGGGTATACAGAGCTTATAGACACTCTGTGGAGGCGCCGCATTGCCAAGAACATCTTATGTGCTTGGTCAACAGGCACGATAGTCAGAAAGGTCAGTTTCAACTCCTGTAGAAGTTTTTCACTGCTACACATTAGTGGCATAGGTACAGCTTCTCCACTGAAGCTATCAACGTGGAAGCCATTAAAACCATGCTGATAGTGTACAAAGTGTAAAGACACTAGAGTCGCACTGCCACAACATCTTACGTGCTTGGTCAACAGGCTCGACAACGAGAAGAAAGGTCAGTAGTAACTCCTGCATTATAGATTGTCATAGATCCACCTCATCGAAGATATCAACCTGGAGGTCATTAAACTCGTGCTGTGAGTGTACAGGCTACACTGCTAGGAACACCTCATGTGCTTGGTCAACAGGCATGATAGCCAGAGGAAAGGTCAGTCGTAACTCCTGTAGAAGTTTAATTATCAGCATAGGTTTGTCAAGTCCGCCTCACCAAAGTTACCTACCCCATCTGATGTTAAGTGGTGATGAAGTCCAAACGCGAAGATAGCTGGTACAGCAGTTATAAACTGCTACACCAACCTTCCTCACCTTGCCGGCCCGCAAAAATGCTTCTTCACACCTCCTAAAGGACCCCAGATTATAGGAAGTAGGGAACATGTGAGCGGGTAAAGAATTCCACTTACGAATAAGAAACAAAAATAAACTAACTTTACCTGCTACTAGGCTTCACAAAATTAATAATTCATTTAAAGGTCTTTGTGTTCGCTTATACAATAAAGTCCCAAGCAATATCCAAGAGTTAGCCATAAATAAATTTAAAGATATTATAAAAAAAAACACTTGTCAAAAAAGCTCATTACAAAGTGTCTGATTATATTACAGACAAAAATGCTTGGGTTCAAACTGTTCCAATCATTCCAACAGGTTTTCTATATTAAATAAATCATAATTGTATTGACGTTGTAACAACATAATGATTTATAAATGTTGTTACATTAGACTTTTAATGTTGTGGAGGTTTATTCGCTCGTTTTTCTCCGCAGCTAAAAAATATGTCCATAACGAGTGGTAGGGAAAAAAATTTTGGACGATTCAAAAGAGTTGTATTATACATCCAATTTGAATAAAGATATATTGATTTTCTGATTTATTCTGAATAGTATGACAAAGTAATGAGTCAAGAAATTTCTTTGTTCGTTTAGGAATAGTGGCCACAGTAAGTCGGTGGCACGTAAGCTTGCATCAAATTAGATATCGATTTATTGAAACTGGATTTAGAACACACAAGAATGTCAATTTCACATGCTTGTACCTCTCCTCAATGGTCCCTCATAATACGACGGTAACATGACTATTCTCCGCTCAGATAATAGAACAAAAGTTTGTTCTGTAATCAGAGATTCTCCGTAATCCCAGTCAAAAAGGAAGATTTCGATCTTTCTAATGAGATAATAAATCATACACTTACCTATCAACTTTATACAAGGGACATAATATTTTAAATGATTTCTTTTTAAATAACGTTTCCTGTTTAGTATAACTAACTCTCCCTTAATGTAAGATTAGACGATGTCCGTGGCCGAGTAGTAAGGTCAGGTTTCGCAAGGTGTCACCTACTCGTTAAGTCCCGGGTTCGAATTCCGGAGGGGCAAATGTTGAATACGCACAATTGTACCTAAGTCATGGATGTTTTTATGAATTGCTTCATAAAATATATAATATACATGTATAAGTATACCGTAGTATACCATTATAACACATTTCAGAACTTACCTCTAATTGGGGCTAGGCTAATTGGTGTGAGTGTTAGAAAAATTTATTATCTCTTATCTATTAGACAAGTCCGTCCGTCCGTCCGTGGTGCTGTTTCAGCGGCCAAACCGTAAGAGATAGATAAAGAGAATGTTTAAGTTATAAGTTGAGAATAGTCTGATAAGACTACAAACCGGATGTGAGTAACGTAGCACTTCCGGTTTTCGAGAAATCACGTGATTTCTATTTCAAACGAAACCACACAAAATCTCCGAAGTTCTCAATTAATTAAATACATTTTTTTTTTGGTGAACATTTGGTTCACTGGTTTGCTAGTTTCTTTATTAATATGTTATTTGCTAGTCACAATCTGACCGTTGGTTCGTATTATCCAGATGCCCCTGGCTTCAAGGCTGGCTTGACGAAGGTCAGCAGTTTAATTGCGTCCGCCGCGATCAGCTACCAAAATGGGAAAGGATTCTGGGACCTTTACAGCGCTATACAGAACGACGTGAACTGCGAAGTGAGTAAATTTTCTAAATTTCTAATTTGAATATAGATAAGAATTTGTGTGTAGTAGTGCGTGTTCGTGATTGGAGAACAAAAACACTGGAGTAGTTTTGGATATATCAGAGATGGATGATGCTGGATATCAATCACAGAGTTTCGGGCATAAACAATAGAATTGAAGCAACAGTCTAGATAAGCCTAATCACCACCTTACAGACGAAAGAAACAACAGAATACGGCACATTTTCCTGTCATATCATCCGTCTTCGCAAATGGACTTACATCTTATATCAAATTGATGCAAAAAGCCACTGCCATCTTTAGACGCAACACCAAAAATAGGATGAATAATATTCGTTGCCTGCCCTGGGGGGCCATTCGCCTAACGGAAATGCTTTGTAAAACGCTAACGCTCACGATTTCATTTTGTTATTTCCAGCCGCCTGAGGTTTTCAAATGCCTCGCGCTCTTATTTTTTCTTTTGCACTGGTATATAACAATATTAAAAAAAATGAGCGTGAGGTATTTGAAAACCTTCGGCGGTCAGAAATAATAAAATAAAATCGAAAGCGTTAGCGTTTTCCAAAGCATTTCCGTTAGGCGAATGGCCCCCAGGTCATATCTCCCAGTATTTTGTACCCTTATCACGCACAAATATCAAATTCGAATAGTTAAGAATTCGATCTTGATACACGTTAATGTCAAGAAATTTTGTATGGGAACTGCGCTACAACGGAAGTAACTAGAATTAAAATTCTTCCTTAAAACACTACTTAACATTTGACTCGTATCCGAATTCAACTATTCAATTTCGTTATTGGAATAGTTCTATTCCTCAATCTCCTGTACCCTTAGCATGAACCAATATCGAATTCGAATTGCAAGTGCGAAATGTCATTGTCAAATGTGTAGGTACTGATTTTTAGTTCTCGTTACGTCCGTTAAGGCGCTGCTGTTCAAGTTTCCATACAAAATTTGACAGTGATATTTCGCTCTCGCAAACTATTCGAATTCGATATTGGTTCGTACTACGGGTAACTGTTTTCAACATTTATCAAACGGGAGATTCGATACGTTTGACAACATTCCCGTCATACAAAATTGATCCGAATCAAAAGTCAAAACCGTCACTAGAGATACCAACTTGTTAATCAATTAATAATCTTGACGACCGACGATGACGACGATTATTGACAACCTCCGTGGCCGAGTGGTTTGTACGCCAGGTTTCATGGCGTCGCCGACTCGAGAGGTCCCGGGTTTGAATCCCGGTGGGGGCAGATATTTGTGTGATGAACACGAGCATTTGTACTCCAGTCATGGATGTTTAAATATGTATTTCTATGTAAATATACTTATATATCGAGCCGTTACCGCCAAATTATCGTAAGCGACACTTTTGTCGAAATGCGTTTTTTGTGGAAACTAATATTTTAAACCGTAACGGACCCATCTCTGTTGATATTTCCCTCCAAAAGAACACCGTTATAATATTATAGAGGGAAGAATAGAGGGAAATATCAACAGAGATGGGTCCGTTACGGTTTAAAATATTAGTTTCCACAAAAAACGCATTTCGACAAAAGTGTCGCTTACGATAATTTGGCGGTAACGGCTCGATATGTAAAGTATGTGTATTCTATCCGTTACCCTAGTCCCATAACAAAAGCCTTATAGTGCTTACTTTGGGGCTAGGCTTATTGGTGTGAGTGTTGGAAATATATATTTATTATTTATTTATTTATTTAATCTAATTATATCATTTTAATTTTTTTCTTCAGGCTGCTTACCCCGCCGACTGTTCAGCATTCCATGAACACGAATTAAAAGTGACTACAGAGGTTTATCATAGTGAATTATAAAAAAAAAACTATACAAAGGGAAACTCGTTACTATTTAAGTATTAATAAAATGTATTGTATTATGTGTTGTATGTCGTAGGTAGGCAAAATAAATTAATAATCTTGATAGTATTTATAGAATTATTATTGTCAGAATAGGGGTGATGACGGGGTACAGTAAACGAAATTCTATTTAGTCTGTCAGTTAGAGGATCAAAAAATAATGGAAACGTATTTTTTCTTTGGGCAATCAAAATTTGGGAGTAGGGGCCCGTGACGTCACTTTTGAGTGAAAATTGTACTTGTTTAATTGTAAAACGTGACGTCATGCGAATTTTCAAATTAATATATCTCTGCAATGTTTATATTATGTGAAAAAAGAAAAAATACGTGTCCAATACTTTTTGGATAATCTACCTGTTATACGAAGAAAAAAAATCATCATCCCTATTATAATATTATTTGTTAGTTTCCCTGTCTACAGGTATAGAAAATTATTTTGAAATTTAATAGTGTAACAATTGTAATTTTAATGTAAAAAAAAGCAATTGTAATGTACTAATTTTAATATTTACTACCTACTTAATTTAGTTTTACTTCGTGATATCTAAGAAATGTAGCTAAATATCTAAAATATAAGAATTTAAATAAAATGAATTTATGATGAGTAAATATGTTTGCAATGTTATTATTTTATTATTATATTTTTTAAGATTAGCAAACATTAGAAATAAATTATATAAGTGATTAGATTTGCTGGATATATTGGTGCTAAATAATAATTTCATTATGTCGTAATAATAATGTTTCAAAAACTTGAAACACTATTTTCAACTCTTATTTGTTTCAAATCATTTCATTTTCATGCACTAAAAACATCACTTCTTTAAACAATATACTTTCAAATATTTAAATAAAAATAACCATTTATCTTCATTTAAGTTAAATCATTTTAATTACTGTGAGCTCCCTACATTGCACATCTTTTTTAATATCACAACGAATTCGTAAAATTAAAATACTTAAGTAACTTGAAAAAAATTAAGCTTCATACTTCCTTACGATAGCTGGAAACCCTTTTTTCGAAAACAAGATGGAGCCAAACATTCATTTCGATCTTCATTCACCAATTTCATAAACTAGTGTAGTTATATAATATCTGGTTGTGAATCTTTATTATTGAGTAAATATTTATTATTCAGCGTTTTTTTATCTGTTCTAAAAATAAGAATTGACTTACCTATAATGTGACTGTACTTAAGTGAGTAAATAAAAGACTTCAATTCAGTGAATATTTTATTTATTTTAATTAGGTAATTGGAAGGAATTCGTCATTTCGAAAGTATTCGATACCTTATAAGCTTAAAGAATTGTGACTATAACGCATAATTATATTATTAGTGATTAAGTATTACATACGGGGTGTAAAAAAACCTATGACAAAGACTTAAACTTCGCATTCTGAACACCCAAACAAGACATATTATTACAAAATATTATAGGTGGTATAAAATTTGTATTTTTAAGTTAAAAAAATACATTTTTTTCTCCAGTACGCAATGTATAGCGCGGCACTTTACTGTGGCGCTACGCAAAGAATGTGCCTGTGTGTATGACTGAGCGTGTGTGAAAGTGCGTCGATAAAAAAGTTTCTAAATAACGTTTTGAAAATCATCATCAACAGTCTATCTTAGTCCACTGCTGGACATAGGCCTCTCCAATTGCACGCCACTCAGATCGATATTGGGCTAATGAAAATACATATTAATGTAATAAATATTGAAAAAATATTTTGGCTTGGATCTTCAATATTTGCATAACCATAAATTTACCAGGTATGGTCCAGAAGAAAAAAATGATCGTCATGGTGTGGAAATACGTGGCCTCCTACTTCGTTATAGGTTTTTTTTTCACCCTGTATAATACTTAATATGGGTCTTTATTTTGCAACTAAATGACTAACCGAGACGCTTTCACAAATCTGTTAATATCATTTAATATAATACACAACAATAATCATTATGATGTAAGGAATAGGTACTTAGAGGAAAACATCTTGAGTAATCGTTTTTATTAAGGAAAAATAGAAGTTTTTGTGTGTAAAACTGCTACTGCGCAGGATTCGTTATCTGTGGTTTATGTAGTTTACTGAAGATGTTTGTTGGAGTTTATGTTTACTTCAGTTCCGTCCTCATTTTTATTATATTTTTTTCATTCATAGCGAAAGATATTACTTTAAATCAAATATAGAAAATAAACTCTCACGTCACAGTTTCCATTTGATTACAATTTGACAGTTGACTTTTTTATTATTATTATCAAATAATTAGCCAGTTGCAATAACATAAAGTTTTAGATAAATTTGGAGACCCCTTAAACTTTTTATACTAGCATTTCACATAAATAAATTTGACAAGTGTTACCTTCTTATTTCATATAGAACATAAGAAGGATATACTGCTGTCAACTTTGGTTAAAGCAAATAAATACCTACGAATAGTAATAATGTCAATGGGTTTTTTTTACAATATTATTTGCTATTCCTTGAAACACAACAAAATTTACGCAGTCTTATTACTATAAGGTTGGTATTTATTTACTTATATATTTGCATCCGTTACTTTTTTATTTGTCATTAATGCATATATTTATTTGTAATAATCTAACTACACACTATTAGTTATTACGCACTTATTTCGGTAAATCTAAAACTAAAAAAGAAATGGACGGATTCTTTGTATTATGTCTGTTACGCTCAAAGATCGAAAACGCTCAGTGAGCGGAAAAATAGCTCACAACGCGTTGTGGTCACAGTAAAACATCCACATGGCGAAATGTGTGTTATGGCTACAACACACATAACATTCCTAGGTGCTGCACGTCCTCTATCAACTTACAACCTGTCCGTAGTAATATGGTTAAAACAATGAATGCTCAGAATGCGTCATGGCTTTTCTTCTTTGCCACAACGCGTTGAGATCGAATAGCATGTCAGCCATAACACGAATTTCGCCATGTGGATGTTTTACTGTGACCACAACGCGTTGTGAGCTTTTTTTCCGCTCACTGAGCGTTTTCGATCATTGAACGTAACATGTCTTTAAATCTACCTACATAATAGGACACAATACAAGACTACCTACTAATATCCAACTAATTACAGCAAAGAAAAATTTACTACACTAAGTTGTAGGTAGGCTACCATTTTATTCAGTAAAATTTTCTTGATACAAAATCCAAAATACAAATAATTTGGATTGGATTTGTCAAAAGATTTTCACATACAGCATTCGTATGTCTATAATTCGTATAAGTATATATATTATAATATATAAAAAAATATATTGGATCGTAGGAGCTCAATAAAGCAAGAAATAAACAATATCAATGACGTTACTAATTTTCCTTTTCGCTAATTATTTAATATGTATTATTTCAAAAAAATATTGTGTGTCCGCTTTTACCACATTCCCATTTGTAGATACATGATAGTGTTTGTAATATCATAAATTTGTTATTATAAAGTTTTTATTTTAAATAATAAATATGTGACAATAACACTTCACGTCGACAAAGAAAAAACAATTTAAAGCGTTAAGCATTAGAGCCAGTCTGGAATCAATAATTAAATAATAAAATATACATGACTAGTATCATTATTTTTTAACCTTGCTCTCGATTAAACTAATAATAAACCTCTTACATAAGCATCCGAAGAAAAAAACTAATACGGTTGCGAAGTTTGAATACTGACTTTACCATAAAATACTTAGGTTAACATATTCGAGTTAACTTTCAAACTGTGTTACAATATATTAGAAAAAGCCCCAGATGTGATCTTTGATAAATTATATAAAGATAACTGTGAAATCCTTCTTGTCGCGAACCCGTAAAGTCTAGTTTCTCTTAATGAACAGTCATCACAACTTTTTAAGTGCGAATAAAGTATTAAGCTGTGGTTTTCGTTACTATAATTAAACCCCTTTGTGAATAGGAAACTCACTTCTTTACCGGGATATTCTTGCAGACCCATTCCATGCCTTCCTATAATATAAAAAAGCATATTTTAATTAAAAAAAAATCCTGGATTAAAATGGCTTATAAAGTTAGAAAAAAAGTTTGACTTCAAAATTATTTGAATAAATTATTTTTCACGGGTTAATGCACGAAACTTTATACTATAGTTTTATTGTCTATGTATGAATTTATTACTTAATTTATTTAATAAAGTACTTTATTTAATTTTCTTTTTGTAATTTGAAGTTTATTTATTTCACCCTTACTACCGTTAACTACCACCGGTTCCAAAATTGGGAGACCTTTCTGAGAAGAACCGGCGAAACAAACTCAAGAGAGGCTTGTTGCTAAATTAAGTAATAAATTCATATACATAGACAATAAAACTTTAAAAATCGAACAATGAAATAACCGAACGCTCAATAAAAGTCTTTCGAATGTAGCTCGACAAAATTAAATAAAAAATTGATTCCGACGAAGCAGCCTGTAAAGGCTGCGAAACGTCAATAAATAAATAAAGTTTCGTGCATTAACCCGTGAAAAACTAGTTTTATTTAATGAGTGATGTGCGTGAAAACCTAAGAAACAAATATGAATAAATTACCTTTACACCAGTGCCATCGGTCGCAACGCAGGACTGGATCTGCCAAGTCCTATCGCGGATCAGGTGGAGGCCCAAGTGTTGCGCTACTTCACTAGATGGTAATGCTGGAAACAGAGTAGTACAGGTCGCGACACGTAACTCTAGCGAAGAACAAAACGCGGAGGGGATAGCTGCGCATGGGTACGACTGGAGAGCCAATCGGCGCAACGCACGCCCACCCGCGCACCTCGTTTCCCCCCCAAGACATCTTGATTTTTACTTCTGCGCCATAACGGTCAGCTCTAGAGTTTCGTGCCGCGACTTACATATTAGGCTTGGTTCAACTACCAAAGCAAAAGAATATGGCAAATCGGTTTCTCCATTGAAGAGCTAATTCTTTAGAGTTCCATACCTCCAAAGAAAAAAAACGGAACCCTTTCCGCCTGTCCGTCTGTTAATCACCATCAGCCTAATAATTCCACGCTTCTTGGGCACAGGCCTAGAGAAGTCACTCGCAAAATTTCGTTTCTAATTCGATCGTTCCAAATTTCGTTTTAGAGTAAAGCTCCTGGTCTGCGCGACAGCTTCTTTAACACGATCCTTAATCAATTGGGATAGGTATATCGCTCATTAAAACCTTAGAAATCTACCTATTAACCGACAAGCATCTCCAGGAATAATGTTAACTTATTTCATTACATTTATTCTAGTAAGAATTGTTAGAAAACTTCTTCGCGTTTAAAAGCATTGACAGCGCAGACAGATCATCAATATATGATTTTAGATCAAGATGTGAGGACCTATAATTAATGAGCTGTCTTCCTTGTAACAAAAAATAAAAAAATAAATCGACATGTTAGTTATAATTTTTATTTTTTAAAGCATGTAACTGCTTGTAGACCAGGGTCGATAATTTTAAAAATGGTGAAAAGTGAAAAAAAATTATAGTAGGATGAAACCCATTAGAAAAGGTAGAGAATATAACAAAAATGAAAGGAAAAATGTGTGCGTGTACTAGTGTACCTACACACGTAAGAAGTGAAACTTCTTTATGGCCTTATTTTTCGAAAAATGATCTACATGCAACTTTCCAGAAATTGGTTAAATAAAGTTAAATTAGATAAAGTTTAAACAAAAGGATTTTATTATCATAGACATGAATACAAATTACTGCCTATGAAACTGTTATGATAACACGGCTCAGTAATCTAAGGCACATGTTCCACCTCCGACGATGAACGATAAGCGAGTAGAAACTAGAAACGAATCAGTCCTGAGTTAAAATGCACGCGCACGGCTTTTGACAGCCAAGCCAGCTTAACCGAGCGAGTATAGCTGAGCGAGTATCGCTGAGCTAGTATCGCTGAGCGAGTATCGCTGAGCGAGAATCGCTGAGCGAGTATAGCTGAGCGAGTATCGCTGAGCGAGTATCGCTGAGCGAGTATCGCTGAGCGAGTATCGCTATGCGAGTTTGGCTGAGCGAGTCTTATCTTTAATAACTATTGTCACTCAGCTACAAACGAGTAGAGAGAGTTCTCGCCGGCGACAGTGTGATCATTCAGCTATCAACTATTAATATAAAAAAAGATGGCGCGTAACGGAAAAATGTGACGCGTAACCGAAAAATGTGACGGTAAATTTTTTTCCAACGCCGATAAAGAAGTTTCACTTCAAAAATAAATTACGGGCGATCTGAGGACGGGAAGGGGGAGGGGGTGAGTTTTTAAGGGTAAAAAATGGTTAATCTCGAATCACTTTTTTCACATAACCTCTAAATTTATGTGGAAAATGCGAATAACCGAGTTTTTTTTGAGATTTTTCTGATTTAAAATTTTAAATCAGAAAAATTACTGTATGTTTACACCCTTCGCAATCCGGGCGAATGCACTGATCAATTATGCTAACGCGGCCCTCATGGACCGCGTCGAAATTCAAAAATTAAGAATGGATTTTTTTCTAGTGATATTTTCTTTCGACATGTTATACATAATGATTGATGTTTAGGACATTTATACTTTATTATTTTAATTTGGAAACAGACTTACCTGTTTCCAAATCTTGTTTATTAGCATACACCAGTAGGGGTACTGCACGTAGCTTGTCATCTTGCAAGAGTTCCGCCAATTCCTGGCTGGTCTCTTCCAGTCTTTGGTGGTCTGAACAGTCTACCACATAGATCTGTAAATATAAGTATGTTGTAAGTGTGTTTATGTGCTCCAAAACAAAAAACGCTGTGCGTATTCAAATATGGTTCAATACGGATCCCGGCTTTCCTTCATTGCCCATAAACTATTTTTCCCCAAACAGTGCAGAACGAATGCAGGTGAACGCGCACCCCTATATCAAATACTGAACTTTTTTAATGACAACCTATTTGATTTTGATTTGGACTTGTTTACAATGTCTTTTATTCAATATAAAAAGGCCATTACTGATTGTTTACCAAAAATTTAAAAATTGTGTTGTGTAACTTTTTTTTAGTTATACCATCGATTTGCAAGTAGAATAGATATTGCAAACTTATCATGTTTTATAAAAATATATTCTCTGTGTTGTGATATATTTTAGTGAATAACGGTGTTGGTTGTGTAATGACATCAATATATTTAATACTGTTACTATATTAAGTACAATATTGCACAATTGTTAGTTATCCTACATAAATAAAAATAAAACTAGGGTTGCCAACCCTACTGTCTAATATATAAAATTCTCGTGTCACGGTGTGCGTAATTGAACTATTCCGAAACGGCTCGATCGATTTTCGTGAAATTTTATATGCATATTCAGTAGGTCTGAGAATCAGCCAACATTTATTTTTCATCCCCCTAAATGGGTGGTCCACCCTTAAATATTTTTTTTGGACAAAATTTGCTGTTTTTATTTTATTATGATACATCATACAAAAATACAGACAACCCTAAATTTTCACCCTTCTACCACCAACCCCTATTTTTTATGACGGTACGAAGTTCGCTGGGACAGCTAGTTAAATATAGTATCCTACTATATTAAGGGATCAAACACTTTATTTCTTAAAGAAATATATAGTAGGCGAACCTACTATATTTTGCTTAAAACCAGGGCTTGAAACCGGTTTCAAAAATACCGATAAATAAAGGTTAATACCGGTTTTTAGTAAAGGTTTCGTTCGGAGCGCGTCCGAAATGGAAGCGGTACCCTAATACTAAAACCTTAATAAACCGGTTTAATCCAGACCGACACGTGCACACGTCGGCATCGCTTGAA